ATTTGAGCCAGCGCTAAATTGGAACCGGTTTTGGGGGGTTCAGTGACGCGGTTTAAATTCTTTAAACTCGGCCTCTGATTTAATAAAATTAACCTAGGGTTTGATGGTGTCCGGGAGTCCAGGTTGTTTGTTCTCCGTTAAAGTTTAAAATCACTTCTAGTTCATACGAACTCCTAAATTAAAAAATAAAATTTTAAATAAAATATCTTTCAAAATTTTCATGGCCTGAGGCTGAATAAGAGACATTATATTTATACAGTTGGGTTCTTGGTGTGTCCGTCTGCTGGTTTGTATGTTTAAAGGGAGTGTTAAGATAAAATAAAAGGGGTATAAGCTGAAGCTTAACACTTTCAGTAGTCGGTCTTAGCCAATATTAGTTCTTTATGATGTCCCTGTCTCGAGAAATTGATGTAAAACGTTGTCAAAGTTATACAAAAACTCATATATACTTAATATGGACAACAGAGCCACATGACTAGATACTACAATGCTATTGGTGGAAATTATTGTCACATGATACAGACATAACAATTATATTATCAATTATATGAATAAGTACTATAATCAAATTATGATAGAAGCGTACCTAAAATATTTAGGCCTCTCTGGGTTATCCTAACTTTCAGATTTGTTCCGTATTTGCAGAATAATATCTGTTTGAAACTTTGATTCATAAACAGTTTCATATCACATATATTTGAGTCTTGGTATGACTTTAACACAATTTCTCGAGACAGGGACATCAGATAGAACTAATATTGGTTACAATCAACTCCTAAATTTTTAGGCTTCAGCCTATACCCCTTTCATGTTATCTTAACAGTCCCTTTAACCATCTCTTTGCGAATTCAAACAAACTTTGTTTAACGTATTTAGTTGAGATTAGTAAACAAGGAGATCAGAGAACAATGTGTTTATCCAAGCATAATAAGTAAATGATTAATTTAATGGGTTGGCAGATTTATCATGTCTTTTAGTGATAAAATTTCTCAAATAAGTTTGTAATTTGAAAGTGTAAGTTTTCATTTCAAATTGAAATTTTTGATGTTTTTTCTGATTAATAGGTGAAAGTTGTTTTTTCTTTCTTTACCATATAATTCTCTTTTGCTTTTCTATGTTTGTCTCTTAAAGGAAATGACTGGCTTTGTATGATAGTTGAACTGAGAGTGCAGTATTATCGCAAGATTTATCATGTCTTTTTAGAAGAAACGTCTCATAGAACTTTGTGATTTGAAAGTGTAAGTTTTGATGTTTATTTCTGATAAAAAGGTGAAAGTTGTGTTTTCTTTCTTTACCATATATTTCTCTTTTTCTTTAAAAATGTTGCTTCTTAAAGGTAGAGTGCAATCTTATAAAGTATAGTAGCAGGATTCATTTGATCCGTATAAAACGTTTTTTTTTTGTGTTCTATAATTGCTACATAAGATCGCAAACTCGCTCTTCAAAAATCGCAAGGATGGGTAATTCTGAAGGTTTGATAATAAGTTAGAATTACTAAAGATAAAATCACAAAAGACAAGATTACGAAAGATAAGATTACAAAAGATAAGATTACAAAAGATAAAATTACAAAAGATAAAAAGATGAAATTACAAAAAACAAGATTACGAAAGATAAGATTACAAAAGATAAGATTACAAAAGATAAAATTACAAAAGATAAGATTAAAAAAGATAAAATTACAAAAGATAAAATTACAAAAGATAAGAATACAAAGATAAGATTACAAAATATAAGATTAAGAAAGATGAAATTACAAAAGACAAGAATACGAAAGATAAGATTACAAAATATAAGATTACAAAAGATAAGATTACAAAAGATAAGAATACAAAGATAAGATTACAAAATATAAGATTACGAAAGATGAAATTACAATAGACAAGATTACAAAAGACAAGATTACAAAAGATAAGATTACAAAATATAAGATTACGAAAGATGAAATTACAAAAGACAAGATTACAAAATGCAGAATTACAGAAACCTCAATACTATTTCCCTTCTGGGAATGCAACGTTTTAACTGTAGATTTACATCCCTAAACCTGATTCAATCAAAATATCACTATAGACAAGGTCCTAAATATAGGGAGTTTGTACAAATATCTAGTTTGGTCCAAATATCTAGTTTGGTCCAAAGATCTAGTTTGGTCCAAATTTCTAGTTTGGTCCAAAGATCTAGTTTGGTCCAAAAATCTAGTTTGGTTCAAATAACTATTTTTGTCCAAACATTAATCTAGTTTGGTCCAAATATCTAGTTTGGTTCAAATATCTAGTTTGGTCCAAATATCTTGTTTGGTCCAAATATCTAATTTGGTCCAAATATCTGGTTTGGTCCAAATATCTAGTTTGGTCCAAATATCTTGTTTGGTCCAAATATCTTCAAAGTATACCTGGCATGGTCCAATAATGAGGTTGCGAAGCTTTGTACTTGTTCACGTAATGAGGTATATTCCTTAATAAATTTATTTTTCAAAGAATCGGTTCAAATAAAATCAAAAATAGTTTTGCCATATTATCGTAAACATATCATACATTACATATCATACATAATGAGATATTCGACAACTTTTAGCTTCTAAGTTACCCAAAAAGGGATTGTACACCTGGTTTCAAGTGACTCTTTATTTATAAAGTATCATGTTCGGTTCACACCGGTACCAATTCAGCTTTGTCTGATCAAGGATGAATATTTTTTTAGTGACACATTTTAAATAGCAAAAACGGCTTTATCTTCCTTGTTTTTAAGGCACCGTTGTGAACCGGACATATCACTCTTTTTCTTAAATGTCATTTAAACACCACGTTTACATTATACAGTCCCTGTAAAGAACTGAGCTTCTGAGTTACCTGACAGAACTGAGTTTCTGAGTAATATGACAGACCTGAGTTTCTGAGTTACATGACAGACCTGAGTTTCTGAGTTATATGACAGAACTGAGTTTCTGAGTTACATGACAGAACTGAGTTTCTGAGTTACATGACAGACCTGAGCTTCTGAGTTAAATAACAGAACTGAGTTTCTGAGTTATATGACAGAACTGAGTTTCTGAGTTACATGACAGAATTGAGTTTCTGAGTTACCTGACAGAACTGAGCTTCTAAGTTAAATAACAGAAAACTGAGTTTCTGAGTTATATGACAGAACTGAGTTTCTGAGTTACATGACAGAATTGAGTTTCTGAGTTACCTGACAGAACTGAGCTTCTAAGTTAAATAACAGAAAAGAGTTTCTGAGTTACATGACAGAACTGAGTTTCTGAGTTACCTGGCAGAACTGAGTTTATGAGTTACCTGAAAACCCGAGCCTCTGAGTTACCTGACAGAACTGAGATTCTGAGTTTGCGGACAGAACTGAACTTCTTAGTTGCTTTACAGAACTAAAATTCTAAATTAGCGGGCAGAACTAAGCCTCTGAGTTACCTGACAGAACTGAGCTTCTGAGTTACATGACAGAACTGAGCTTCTGAGTTACATGACAGAACTGAGCTCCTGAGTTACCTGACAGAACTGAGCTCCTGAGTTACCTGACAGAACTGAGCTCCTGAGTTACCTGACAGAACTGAGCTTCTGAGTTACCTGGCAGAACTAAGCTTCTGAGTTACCTGACAGAACTGAGCTTCCATCTTTGCCAGGTTTCTGAGTTGAGTGGATAGTTTGAAAGCAGTGAGTATAGGATCCTGACTGGTTAGTGAGATCAAGGATGGACTGGAGAGAGCTCTGAACAACACAATCCTATTCTAAGAACATTGAACCCATCTAATAAAACCCTTTTTACTCAACTTATCCAAACCTCTGATATTTATCTACTGTTAGATATAAAAATTTGAGAAGAAAATCTAGATTGATCTACTGTACTGTACTGGACTTCACGTCTTGAACCCAAATTTAGCATTTGGTGTAAAAATTTATAAATTTGGGGCGATAAGTATCTACATAAATTTAGACTGCTATGAAACGTTGCATTAATTTTCAAGACCGGGCCGAACTTTGAAGTGATGCTTCGCCTCGGTCTTTGATTTTATCTGACTAACTCATTTTAACTTGTGTCACTGTGCATAAAAATTGGAAAAATTAAAAACTTGAATGTACTTAATGTGATAAAAGGAAACAAATAATTGTTTTGTGAAAGTATACAAAAGCAGAAATATGTAAAAAAAAAACTATGAAAAGATTGATTCATTGTGGTCGGAGTTTTTTCAATATAGGAATGGTTCACATTTCAACAGGTTTAAATTAGATTCAGGTTCTCAAAGAACAAACATCAAAGACCCAATCTTGTCTAACAATTCTTCCGGAAGAAGAAAATAATTTTCTTAAGGGACCGTTCACTTACTCGGGTAATTTTAGGGTAAACTAAATAGACTATTAGCTATTCATTGGTATTAGTCTTACTTTTCAAAGACAACTGTGGCCTGAGACTGTTGTTACTGAAAAGTAAGATATTAATACTAATGAATAGCTAATAGTCTAATTAGTTTACCATTACCTGAACGGTTCCTTTAATATTAAGTAATTTTTAAGCTTTTTTATCTTATACTAGCTGAAAGATTCCTCTCAATAGGACTTTAAGGCGTTTAACTCCCCATTTTGCATATGGGGTGATGTTATGGTCTTCCTTAAAATTCCCCTTAGTTGAAAAGACTGTAACACAAAAGACAACATGGGAGCAATTCCTTATACCCTTCCTCCTACAAACCTCCTAATGTCTCTCATACCTGCTCCACAACTCAATGTCAAAAGAACTATTTGGAGAGGCCTCAAAGTGTAGAATCAAGAAACAAGAAGCAAGAAGAAAAAGAAAATTGAAAAGGAAAAATTGGAAGGAAAATCTCTTGATATAAGAGATGGGGGCTTGGAAGACGTCCCCCCCCCCTGGGAGGGGGGAGGGGGTGAGACGAATGCCCTCAAGAAAATATTAGGAATTTGTGTTTTTGCTTAGTCAGATGCAACTCATGATAATATCTTAATATTTGCATATGTGTATTACATCTAAATATTTGCTTATGTGTATTACATCTAAATATTTGCATATATGTATGCCTGAATTAGTGAGATGTATAAACACTTTAATTCATACGATATACCTTTTAACAGTATAAAACAGTTTACAGGCAAAGGAAAAATAAGTATTTTATTTATCAATTTTTCTGCGAGTAAGTTCTTTTGTAAAGAGCTGGTTTTATCATAAACCTGCATAAATAAGTATTTAGATTAGCAGGGTTCAACGAAAAGTGTTACATTCTACCAGAAAACCAGTTTTTTAAGGAATGTTGTTTGAGAAAAACTTATTGGTTTTGTGTAATAAATGTTTTGTGCCAAACTTAATATTTGTGCTGCAAAGAATTCTTCTTAAACCCAATACGTCTTGGAACTCAAGCATTTTGTTTACAAGAATGTAGCAGAATAAAAGTTTGTTTTGCAAGAATGTAGAAGAATAATAATTTGTTTACAAGAATGTGACAAAAACATGTGTGTTTACAAGAATGTAGTAGAATAAAAATTTGTTACTAGAATGTACCAGAATAAAAGTTTGTTTTCAAGAATGTAGCAAAATGAACGTTTAATTACAAAAATGTAAAAGAAAAAAGAGATTTGTTTACAAGAATGTAGCAGAAAAAAAAGTTTGTTTACAAGAACATAGCAGAATGCAAGTTTGTTTTTAAGAATGTAGCAGAATATTGGTTTGTTTACAAGAATGTGGTAGAATAAAAGTTAATTTACAAGAATTTAACAGAATAAAAGTTTGTTAACAAGCATGTATAAGAATAAAAGTTTTTTTCAAGAATGTAGCAGAATAAATGCATGTTTACAAGAATGTAGCAGAATAAAAGTTTGTTTACAAGCATGTAGCAGAATAAAAGTTTGTTTAAAGATTTTAGCAGAATAAAAGTTTTCTTCAAGAATTTAGCAGAATAAAAGAATGTTTACAAGAATGTAGCAGAATACAAGTATGTTTACAAGAATGTAACAGAATAAAAGTTTGTTTACAAGAATGTTGCAGAATACAAGTATATTTACAAGAATGTAGGAGAATAAAAGTTTGTTTACAAGAATGTAGCAGAAAACAAGTGTGTTTACAAGAATGTAGCAGAATAAAAGTTTGTTTACAAGAATGTAGCGGAATACAAGTATGTTTACAAGAATGTAGCAGAATAAAAGTATGTTTACAAGAATGTAGCAGAAAAAAAGGTTGTTTACAAGAACGTGGCAGAATAAAAGTTTGTTTTCAAGAATGTACCAGAATAAATATTTTTCACTGAAAAAAGAGTTTTTAAGCTCTGATTTTTCTTCCAAACGTTTACATTGTTGAATTTTTTCTTTTTAGAGTCAATTATCATTAAAAGATTATTCTTGAACAGTCTTTGACGGGGTTTGAACAGGATTCTGTGGAGTTGGAACAAGGTTCTGCTAACTCCCTGGGTTCAAACAAATTATCGCGGGGCTCATGATCACATGCCCCCCCCCCCTCTCAAGGAACAGGATACGCCATGTTGGTTTTATTAAAACACAAAATATAAGTATTTGATCATGAATAAGTTTGAAACTGTCGAAGAGCGACATTACAAAAATTATTTTGTTGTCTCTGAATTTCCTGTTCATAATGTATAGTTACAGTTTTTTAGATTGTATTTTTATCTAAAAGTTAGTATTTGCTAAATTAGTTGTGCAACTTACAAAATATAAAGTTAGCAGAGTAAATCAGTTTGTTTAGAATTTATATACAGCTAACACATAGAATAGTAAGAAAAACTGATATACATCGGTTTTAACAGTAAAATAAATAGAGGTTTTCAGTGGAGGAACCTTTAAAATTTTTTTTAAAGGGTGGGTTTGTGAAATATTTAATGGTTATGATATAAGTTGATTCAGAATCAATATCGCTATTTATCGGTACAATTTTATTTACACTTTCTGTTGGGATGTATGATAAAGGACGGATTCAAAAATGAAAGAAGATAGAAGGAATGGGATGGCAGATCAGGAAAGGAATATGAGGAGGAGGAGTCCCCCCCTCCTTCTCCACAGAAAGGTTCCCCATTCCCCAAGTTACAAAGATCATAAAGTAATGGGTCTATAAGACAGCCTTCCAAGGAACTAGCTGAAGCCTTGATCTAACCCTTCGTTCCATTTTTCATCCAACTACTCACAGAAAACTACTACAAAATCGAACCCTACCCTGCTCCCTATCTCCAACCCTACCCTACTCCCTGTCTCCAAACCTACCCTACTCCCTATCTCCAACCCTACCCTACTCCCTGTCTCCAAATCTACCCTGCTCCCTATCTCCAACCCTACCCTACTCCCTATCTCCAAACCTACCCTGCTCCCTATCTCCAACCCTACCCTTCTCCCTATCTCCAACCCTACCCTACTCCCTATCTCCAAATCTGCCCTGCTCCCTATCTCCAACCCTACCCTACTCCCTGTCTCCAAACCTACCCTGCTCCCTATCTCCAACCCTACCCTACTCCCTATCTCCAAACCTACCCTACTCCCTATCTCCAAACCTACCCTGCTCCTTATCTCCAACCCTATCCTACTCCCTATCTCCAACCCTACCCTACTCCCTGTCTCCAAACCTACCCTACTCCCTATCTCCAAACCTACCATACTCCCTATCTCCAAACCTACCCTACTCCCTATCTCCAAACCTACCCTGCTCCCTATCTCCAACCCTACCCTACTCCCTATCTCCAAACTACCCTACTCCCTTTCTCCGGCCCTTACCTCCTCCCTATCTCCAACCAACCCCTACTTCCTATCTCAAATCCTCTCCTGCTCCCTATTTCCAACCCTAACCTGCTCCCTGTCTCTAACCCTAACTTGCTTTCTATCTCTAACCCCAATCTGCTCTCTAACTCCAACCCTTCTTCCCTATGTCCTATATCCTACTCCCTCTATCCGATCCTAACCTGCTCCCTATCTCCAATCCTACCCTACTCCCTATCTCCAAACCTACCCTACTCCCTATCTCCAATCCTGCCCTTCTCCCTATCTCCAAACCTACCCTGCTCCCTATCTCCAAACCTACCCTGCTCCCTATATCCAACCCTACCCTGCTCCCTATCTCCAACCCTACCCTGCTCCCTATCTCCAACCCTAACCTGATGCTCTCTATCTCCAACCCTTCTTCCCTGTGTTAAGCTCTATTAACGGATTTGTTTCCTGTAAGCGTTGAGTCTAGAGAGAGAGTAGCGCAGAGAATCTTCACTAAATTAACACAAATATCATGTTTATTAAATTTTCTTAAAAATTTAATTTTTATAAATTTCTTTAAAATACACTTGAATTTTTAAGAATTAGTTTAAACTGAAATTATAAATTTTATTTATTTTAATAGAAATCTTACTCTGGCAAACACCTTTCACAAGTCCAATTCTGATTTGTGGATTTTGAGAAAAAATTGTTGAAAGATTTTTAGAGAAACTGAAGGAACATCACAATCAAAAATCATATTTAAAAGAAAGATGATATTTATTAACATAATGTTCCTGAGAAACTTTATACAAGGTTGACAGCTGCACTTGATGTTGTGAGGGTGGGGAAGACTAGCTCCTTGGTCCAGCAGAATACGGATTATTTCATAATTATTCTACAAAAAATATTTTTAGATGTTTACAAATTCATTTCTAGTTAGAGTGTTAGATGGAGTGTTGGATGTTTTTTATTATGTTCATCCAATTATTTAATAATGCAAATTTTAACAATCCTCAAAAATTTATTGAAAACCCGAGATAGATAACTTGGAATAATTTCACGAAACGCTCCGAATTTTTCACTTTAGCGGTAATCTGTGTATACAATGTAAACACTATCTTGAATAAAGTGGAATAATGGATTTTTTTATCCAAGCATGATAATCAAAATTGCAAAGTGATGAAAGATATGCCACTCAAACCTTTCAAGAATATGAAATATTGCCTCCTCCTCCATCNACCTTCCCCCCCTTTCTTTGTCCTGTTATTGTTGCAAGTGCCACATATTTGTATTCTGTAAACAAACTTTATATTTTAAATCTTCACTTGTCAAATTTCTCCGGACCAAATATAACAATTCAAAACTAGAATTAAAATATTTTCAAATTCTACGTAGTTCATGAATGGAAACTAATAGAAAGACGAGTGTGTTGAATTGCACAACAAGGATATGTCTGTGTACAGTATATTGATGTACATAAAGTTAGGCTTAACTAAATTGCAAGGCGCAAGTTTGCAAATTCGATGTATAGGCAGCTTACAGATTTTTCAGCTATAAAGTACAAAATGACATTTAAAATGTTTTATTACGTTTAAATAATATAGCGCTAATATATCTACAACGCTTGATCTTGATATACATTGTGACAACTTTTAAATTTAAGGGATTTATAGTGTTTGATTCTTCAACCTAAGTCATCCCTTTCGGATACGGTGACCACGTGATATTCAAGAGAACTTAAGTACCGGGCCGAATTTCAAGCACATAGAGCAAGCTGTACAGTACAGATACAGACTATATCAGGCAAAATTGGGACAGTACACCAAATGAATCAGCCCCTTCTATGAAGATTATAGTGATATGAGACAATTTACTTGTATCTGTAAAAACTAGAATTACTACCTTATGAGCTGCTAGAATTAATGGTGTTATATCAGGAGTATATGAAGAGTAAACTGGATCAACAGCCTAAAATGTCGTCTTTAATTAGAATCAGAATTTTAAAATTAAAAATGTAAAAAAAATTGTGGCACTGAGGAATCATCGGAGAGGGAAAGGGACTGTCCTTGTAACTTTTAGTGACTCTCTATATAAAAAGGAACTTTTAAAATAATGCTCTTTTAACCTTCTAATAAATATTGAGGAACATATTGTCGGTTTTTTAGCTTGAACTCCGAAAATTTCCTCTATTTGTAAGTAATTTTTATTGAGAATCCAACAACTGAAATAATCATTTTTCAAAGTTACTGTAGGGCTTGTAGACGGAGCATTCCATTCTTTTAAATGAAAGGTCACTTGAAATTAAAGGGAGTGTTCGCGAAAAATTAAAGGGGGTATAGGCTTACGGCGAAAAATAATCGCTTTTGATCGCTACTAATCTTACTTCTATCTGTTGCGTCTATAAGTAGAAAAAAAACGACTTATACTGAAGAACGTTCGACGTTCGACGCATTCGTATATGGTTAATATTTCATAATATTTGTTATTTGTTTTATATACAATACACGTGTAATCAATTAAAGCATCGTGATCAATGACATCTAGCGGCAAACTATTTTGGCGTTTTAAGTGCATTGTATACAAAACGAATAAAAAATAAAATTGATTCTTTCATGATCCAAGTTCTATATTTCAACTTTCTGAATTTGTGTAATTCGTTTCTAAAAATTTTCTTCTTATAGACGCAACAGATAGAACTAAGATTAGAAGCGATGAAAAGAGATTATTTTTCGCGAACACTCCCTTTAAGTTAAATTCCCCAAAACGGCTGAACTAACCTCCCATGAATGTGGAGTCCCTGGTTTCCATATTCTCTCCTCGTGTTCTAGAAGGATCTCTAGACCATCAACATACTCCTCCTCTATGGCCAGGAGAAGACTGTCATAGGTCTTGATCTCGTTCTCCAGCAGGATTTCCATCAATTCTAAATTTGGAAATTTGGATTATATCTAATCGAAAAAGCTCATTTTCTCCATACTAACATTTATCTTCCACTGCACGCTATAGACAGGAGGGAGAAGGTCAAATTTATGCTACAAAGTTTGTACGACATCGTAGCTCATCTAGTTTTGATTCAACGCACAAGTATAAGATGAATAAGAGGAATTGAGTCTTTGGAACAAAATCGAATATTTAACCCTCAATATCTTTAGAACCCGATTTTGTAAACCTTTGATATTTTAAACTCAGACTATTTGATCTAATAGAATTCATAATTTGAAATATCTAAGGTCTGCAACATTTGGTTCCAAAGATATAGTGATTAGAAAATCAGAGTTTGTGACAAAGACTCAATTCCTTTATCCGGCTACTAACAAATTAGAAATTAAAAACTTATTTGTTCTTTCAATAAATCTTCAACAAAAAGAGTCAAGATTTAAAACTTAAATTCAATCTCACGTGCAATTTACTTTAGCTTGGCGTGATTCATACATTGTACATCAGAACAATAAAAATATCGCAGAATCTGCTCATTTTTAAAAAAATATTAAAATTCTTAACAAAATTTTTTATAAAACTTTGGAACAGAATATCAATATTATTTTTAATTAATTTCTGAAAAAAAACAATGATATTTTACCAATATATAGATTATAGATAGACAAATTCGAATAATGCTTTAAATTCAAAACCTTGCAGTGCATTTTAAAATTTATACAAAATTTGAACCAGTTTGAATATTTAAACCAGATATACCTCTGCGCCAGTTGGAATAATTTATTTTTATGGGACCCATAGTTGCATAATCCGAACCAGTACAAGGAATTACCCGGTCAAGTGGAATCGAACTGAATACACATTTACTAGTACCCAAATAGATTATCAAGTACAATAGGTGGCAATTATACACGACGTCACAAGTGTCAAATATAACAAGGAAAACGAAACATTCTCACACTAGTTGACATGTTTTCCGAGATTCAATAAGAAAATGAAGAACACATAATATTGCACTTATTTCACTGTAAGATAAGCACTTAGTCTAACTTTATCACTATTATTAATAATTTTGTCGGACACAAAAACAGAGCTGACACTTATGACGTAAGAATACCAGCACTTTACTGAACCCAGTTTATAGTGAACCCAGCGCGCCTTTTGATAAACATATCGACTGGCGTAATTTAAATCGAAAAAAGCTGGGCCAGCTCTTTTTATTAGGCAGTCGCTTTTTGAATACAAACAGGGCGGAGATTTTTTTATAGTTAGGCAAACGTTTCCGTAAATAATTGTATAATAATCCCAGAATATTCTGTCTTTTTTAAACAAAATCATGTAATATGCCGTTGTTTTTCAGCTGAAAATCCCCTTTACCAATCGAGTCTGCTTTTAATTCATCTTTTAAAACTAGAAAGTTCTAAACCTGGATTTTCATTTATAATTGCTATAGAGAGCGCAGTGCGTCCCAAGGGATCCATACAGTTTATATTAAAGTCATCTCTACTCCTGAATATAAATATAAGAATTTATAATATATATATATATATATACATATATATATGCTATACATTGCATAGTATATCTATGTTTACTATATAAATATTCTACAGATTTCGAAATATGAAAAGTATACCCCCCCCCCCCCCCCTCTATTCCTCGTTTTAATATAAAGCAGGGTGAGTCAAAAATTGCTAGTTAACCTGAATAAAAAAGTATGTATTTTAACGAATTTGGTTTAATTAGCCTTTAAAATTAAAGGGAGTGATTTGCTAGACATGGTAGTTGAGCTGAAAGTGTAATATTGTAGAGAAAAACTTTAGTATTCATTTGATATCAATGAACCGTAGAATCGATTATTTCATATTCATTTTCATATTTATACTATGGCTTTCATCGATAATTTCTTTTTTAAGAAATATGTTCCCAAATGGCAAATTAGACTTTACGCTTTTATTTAAAAATAGTACACCGTAAAAATGTCTCAAATTGGTATCAAATGAATTTTAAAGGTTTTCTATACAATACTGCACTTTCAGCTCGACTACCATGTTTAACTTTAACAAATTAGCCCCCCCCTTGTCCTTTCCCTAAGCCTCATTAGTTCTTCAGAAGAAAATACTATGAAAATCCGTATTTATTTACGTCTAATCGTCTTAAATAATAAAACGGAGAAATCGCTTTAGCATCATTTTTTGGATTAATTGTCCCTGGAAAAGGTATCATATATTAGACTTTATTCTTAATTGAAGATTTACATAACTTTTATACACATATTCTTTTACAATTCTATATAAACAATAATACAATAATCTAGTAACCCCCCTGCTACCCTCCCCACCTCCTAACTAAAAATTGGTTTCCTCCTATTTTCAAATTAGTATACAACATCCAACCATTCTTTTTTATGATTAGCCCATTAATTCCCCCTCCCTCTCCTCTTCAAGAAAAAAATTCAGAATTCTCCTAATACTCCCTTACAAAAATCCAAAATCCGATATCCACCCACCCTTCAATACTAAAATGCAGTATCTCCCCTTTTTAAACTAGAATCCATTATATCCCTACCATCCTACTAGAACCCACTTTGCCCACCCCCAAACTAGAATCCAGTATCCCAACCCTCCTCCCTACTAGAATCCATTATATCCCTACCATCCTACTAGAACCCATAGAACCCTTTTTGCCCACCCCAAAACTGGAATCCAGTATCCCAACCCCCCTTCCTTCTAGAATAAGGCGTTTTCCTCTTCAATAATAGAATCCAGTATTAATCAGGTATCCCTCCCTCCCTATTAGAATCTAGTATTAATCAGGTATTCCTCCCTTTCTATTAGAATCCACTATTAATCAGGATCCCTCCCTCCCTATTAGAATCCAGTATTAATCATGTATCCCTCCCTCCCTATTAGAATCCAGTATTAATCAGGTATCCCTCCCTCCCTATTAGAATCCAGTATTAATCAGGTATCCCTCCCTCCCTATTAGAATCCAGTATTAATCAGGTATCCCTCCCTCCCTATTAGAATCCAGTATTAATCAGGTATCCCTCCCTCCCTATTAGAATCCAGTATTAATCAGGTATCCCTCCTCCCTCCCTATAAGAATCCAGTATTAATCAGGTATCCCTCCCTCCCTATTAGAATCCAGTATTAATAAGGTATCCCTCCCTCCCTATTAGAATCCAGTATCCTACTTGTAGAGTTCTATCATTTTCCGAACAGAAGCACAGTCTCCCCGCTCCGAGCACAGCATAAACCTCTTCTCCTGTTCATGGAGTTAAAATAAAGGAATTTAGTTTTTGACGCAAACTCAAATGTTCTAATCCCTATATCTTTGCAACCTGATGGTTAACACATTTTTCATATTTTAAACTGAGACTAATTGAACTAGAGAATTCATCATCATCATCATCATCGGGTTGCAAAGATATAAGGATTTAAAAATCAGAATTTGTGGCAATTGCTCAGTTTCACTGGAAATAAAGGGTAAATCATAAACAAAACGTTGGCATACAAAAACTGTGCGATGTTAAGACGACTGTAAGGCTTAAGTTATGATTTTAAAAAGTCCAATCAGCATGAAAAGTAATTTAGTAATTTCAACGTACAGTACTCCATATATCAAGTTGACTTGTAAGCTACTGGTAAAATAATATCAACTTTCGTCTTCCTCTTCAACAGTTTAATGGGTCCGACTGTATAGTTCACGTGGATTTAACGGTTCTGTCAATATTCTAGAAAGCTGTGACTTTCGATCACAATTTGACCCATTAAACATATTTATTTTTGCATTTTTTCATAAATACTTTTTTGTCGGCATATGCACTTTGAATGAAAAAGAAAAAGATAAACAAATCCGTAAGTTTAAAGATTGTTGAATTATAGACCAAAACACGTTTGATTTCAAATAGAAGAAACCAAATGCTGCTCACTCTGGTTAGTCCAGGCTGAGTTGTCAGTGTAATTGTCATTTTTATTGGTTCTCAATATAATTTTATCATAAACGATGCAAATAAATGATTTGCATAGAATTTACTGCTGTATGCAGATATATGTAATATGTATTATATGTCGATACTATCTATGTTATGTTTACCTCAGAACACAAAAAGTATTTTGGAATGTTTTTTTAGAGCACTATAATTCTATAAGAAAAAGGAACTTAAAGGGAGTGACCGGCAATGTATGGTGTTTGAACTGAGATTGCAGTTTTGTTATAGAGAATTTTGTTAGGATTCATTTGAGACATATAGAACCTTTAAAAGGTCAACAAAAATTCTACAGTAAACAGTTAGTTGCTTAGGAACAGGTTGAGAAAATAAAAATTAACTCTTATCGTCGAAAATAAGTAATCTTGCTCAATTATTAGTTTGTATAATCTCACATTATTTACAAAGATTTTCTGCAGATTTTCTGGAATTTTTCGACATTTGAAGAACTTGTAGAAATATGCGAACAAATACATAGAAAATAGGAAATTCAATATAATGATGAAAACGGAAAAATTGATTCTAACTTTGATTTATTAACAATTTTTTTTTGATTACTATGTTCCTAAACATCTAATTAGTTTACAATAGAACTTTTACTATATTTTTTGTCGTCGTTATTTTATTATTAAAAAAACGATTCTCAAAACGTACCCACCCAAATTGATTGATGATTTTAAACGTCGACTTTGTGCTCAAACTCAGTAGTTATAGATCTTTAAAACGTTTTATATGACTCAAATAAATCCTAAACATTTTCTCTACAATATTGCAATCTCAGTTCAAACACCATACGAGGCTGGAAAAGTAATTTCATGTGACCCTCCATTTTGAGTGGCATTTCCGATTGACAGACAGTACCCATGAAAGCTTTTTCTGATTAAGAATGAACTAGATATCCATTGTTTTAAAACCGTTGGTTTTCAAGTCAAATTTATTTGCAACAGTGACTCGCGCAATTTTTGCTTCAGAAAAAATGGAGAAATTTTCAAAATTAAACACTTTTCAAGCCAGAAAAACGACCTTATCTTCCACATAATTTATCAGATTAAGGTTTCAAGATTACTGTTGGGATCGGTCATGCTTCTCTTCGAATAGAGAGTCACAGAAAATTACGACGACATTCGCTTTCAAAGCTTATGTAAAATTATTTTAAAACATAATCTAAACAGTAATTAGAAAAAGACAACCTATTAGTTCTAACTTACACTTCAAAATGTATTTAATGATAGTTATAAGCTTTTAAAAATATCTAGCAAGGAAAGAAGAGATGTAGATTTACTGTATGAGTTGTTTTGTGGATAATAGACGTGGATTTAACGGTTCTGTCAATATTTCAGAAAACTGTGACCTTCGATCACAATTTGACCCCTTTTACATAATTTTTTAGCCTTTTATCTGAAATATTTTTTGTTGGCATATACATTTTGAATGAAAAAGTATAAAAAGTCTAAAAAAGTCTAAAGACTGTTGAGTTATAGACGAAAACACGTTTGATTTCAAATAAAAGAAACCGAATGCTTCTCTTTCTCGTTAGTTCGGAGCGAATGATTGTCACCTTTAGGCTGTATGAATCGATGGACAAAAACTGGATTCGTTTTACAGAAACTTTTAATGTTTTTTAAATTTTTAAAAGGTTTTACGACAATCTGAGAAGGTTCCGACGATTTACAATTGTATTCTGTAAAAGTTTGCTTTTATCAAACATGCAAAGGAATTGAGTCGTTGCCACAAACTTGGATTTTATAATCACTATATCTTTGCAACCAAATATTGTAGACCTTGGATATTTCAAACTATGAATTCTGTTACCTCATATAATTTGAGTTTGAAATATCTAAGGTTTACAACATCGGGTTCTAAAGATATAGAGGTTTCAATATTTAAGTTTGTGGCAAAGACTCAATTCCTTTGTTATCCAAGGCGAAAATATAAGGCAATAACGAATTAAAAACTATCGTTTTAAAAACCCAAAACCGATCGTTTTTGCCTTTTATATTCTTCTAGGATAACATAGTTGCATGTTTGATAAAAGAAAACTTCTACAGAATAAAGTTTTAAAATGTTGGAACCTTCTCATATTGTCGTAAAACCTTTTAAAATCTAAAAAATTAAAAGTATCTGTAAAAAGAATCTTGCTATTGCCCATCCCTACCTGTGTGCTTAATGGTTTCTCTCCTTTTTGCAGTTTCTTCCTGATCATTTTCAATATTCTTAATTTTTATAATTAATTTATTTTCATGCCATTTAATTCTATACCTCATGAGATTGCATTTTAAGATATTTACTCTAGGGATTTTCTTCTCATCGGATTACAGTTCATCAATTGTTGACTCTGCTATAGCCCGAGCTGAATCTATACCTTGAGAAGTTGCTTTAAAGAAAGTGGAGAAAAAGGAGAAACCAGATCGAGTTATAATTTCTATCTCATTTAATCCTCAAGTGCCTTGTATCTCCTCAATCATACAGAAACATTGGAGAACCATGGTTCAGGATCCTTGGATGAAGGAGGTTTTTCAAAATTCCCTTATGGTTGGTTACCTAGGAGACCTCCTAATCTCAGGGATAAAGATCTTGTTTTCTGTACTATATATTGTAGTTTACACTGCTCCCATGTAATACAGTAAACTTCATTTCTGGTCTTACAGTTGCAAGTTCCATTAATCTTAATCTTCTTACTGGTATTAGAGGATTGTATAACTGTTCCAGGCTCTATGTAGGGACAAGTTGGGCAATTTAAACCACAAGGTTTCATACCAGGTATTAGCCTATTTGGCCTCATTCTAGGAGGATCTGGAATTCTGGCTCGGATAAGTTTTTCTATAGCTATAGCAGAGTCAACAATTGATGAATTGTAATCCCTGCTGAGAAGAAAATTCCTTATTTTTAAGAATTTTGCATCCCTAAGTTCTGGTTTGCTACAAATTCGTACAATTCTGTATCCAAGTGAATAAGATATGTTGTTAGAAATATGTGCTGGGTGGCAAGATGATGACAGTAGGTACTTACATCTATCTGTGGGTTTTCTGTAGAGATCTGTTGTGATTTTTCCATCTTCAATGTACAGTTTTGTGTCAAGGAATGGAATACTTTTTGTTCCATCCTTTAAACCACAATAAAAATGGAGAACTATGTTCTAGAGTAATTTTGATTTACTCTACACAGGTTTGGTCAATCACCATCATCAAATTTTAAATATACTCTATGATATTTAGAGTTATGGTTATAGGTGGTACGACTATGTGACCTCGTTGCTTCTCAAGTTTTGATTATACGCAAAAATATGAGAAGAGAAAAATTTTCCAGTTTTAACTCAAAATATTGTTGTTCATCTTAATACCTTATTAATAAGAGAAGTATTTTACTTTAGTTTGACGTGAGAGAAATATTAGTGTATTTGAGTTGTATTTTGGCGTGTATATTGAATTCCTGTAGGAATTATGATGATCTCTGGATACAGGATCCTTATCTTCTCTCCCTCCAGACTCAATATTGTTGTTCATGCAGTTCATGTTTCCAGGTATACTTCTCTGCATACTTCCCTCTCTAGATCTAACCCGGAGCATAATCAGGCCTAATGGGAAATTAGGATTAGGATCAACTACAGGAGCAACAAGTGCGAAACTTTAGAAGTAAAACTGAATATCACTTTTTTACCCAATCTCGTAACTCCCCCTGATTTGCAAGAAGTATTAAGGTTTTTATAATGAATGATAAAAATATCTTTTTCCTTCTACACAATAACCACATTTTTACATCAAGAAATATTGGTTTTAGTAAAGTACGTTAAAACGTATAGCATAATTTCAAGTGACCTTCTAAGTTCTATTGAAACCAAGTGGCATGTCCAATACACAATGGTACTCTTAAAGCTTTGTCTGATAAGGAATGAATTAGACTTCTATGTTTTTGTTTCTAAAAACTGTTTATTGTGCGTTTCTTACTTTAGAAACTTCAGAAACTGGAGAAATCAGCAAATTTCGACTCTTTTCAAGCTATAGCAGCGACATTATATCTTCCACATTAGATTATCAGATTAAGGTTTTAGGGGTACTATTGTGAATCGGACTTACTTATATAGGGTGAATAGGGTTTAAAGATCAATCTTTATAGAGGGCGTACAGGGTTTAAAGATAATGTTTTACAGAGGACGTAAAGAATTTAAAGATAAATCTTTATAGAGGGTCTATAAAGTTTAAAGATAAATCTGTATAGAAGGCGTATAGGGTTTAAAGATAAATCTTTATAGAAGGCGTATAGGGTTTAAAGATCAATCTTTATAGAGGGCGTATAGGGTTTAAAGATAAATCTGTATAGAAGGCGTACAGGGTTTAAAGATCAAGCTTTATAGAGGACGTAAAGGATTTAAAACTAAATCTTTATAGAGGGTCCATAGGGTTTAAAGATAAATCTTTATAGAGGGCGAATAGGGTTTAAAGATAAATTTTTATAGAGGGCCTATAGGATTGAAAGATCAAGCTTTATAGAGGGCCTATAGGGTTTAAAGATAATTATTTATAGAGGGTGTATAGGGTTTAAAGATCAAGCTTTATAGAGGGCGTATACGGTTTAAAGATCAATGTTTATAGAGGGCTAAAGGGTTGAAAGATCAATCTTTATAGAGAGTGTATAGGGTTAGAAGATCAATCTTTATAGAGGGTGTATGGTTTAAAGACTGAGGTTTACGAATATTAAATCTGAGCCAAAGTACTTAATGGATTAAGTTACCTTTATAATTTAATCTAAAAGTTTGTTGTTTACTGGAGAGTCCTGATTAAAGGTTGTCTCGTCCAAAAATAGTTTCTACAATGTTAAACGTAATTTCATATTCCATTGTTTATCTGTTCTGCTGATGGCAGATAAAAAAACAGGAGTCCTCTCGGCTCGTAACATTCATCTTTTCTGAAAATACAACATATGTATAATGTTTTTAAACAAAAATAAAATATCAAAAGTTAAATGTAAAAATTCTGAAATCTAAAGAGGATGGGGGAATAATTACCCCGATATGAATCTGTAAAATTATAGAAGAAGTAGAAGCGTATTTCAAGGATAATTTGTGTTCAAGAATAGAATTCTAAATGGAGGAAGAAACTCTTTTCAAATGGAAATGTTGGCGGAAAATAGAAAATGCAGACAGGGAGCCTATCTGAATTGGGGGGGGGGGGGGTTAAAGTATGTTTTCTGAAATGCGGTCTAACATATCATTTTGTGTTTGTTTACAGATTAATCAAGAACCTAGATCTCAAGCCGAATATTTTCAATTATTTTACATCCGTTGCATGGAAAAGTTTTTTCTTCAAAATATTCGGATAGATTTCAAAATGTTGTTGGGTAATTTCCCAAAGACATTTTCCCAAGGGCGACTTCCCAAGTGACAATTTTCCTAGTGGCAACTTCCCAAATGTGCAATTTCTCAAGCGGTAACTTCCAAAGGTTAGGTCTTCTGAGACGCCGAAAGCTACAATGGGGGTAGAGCGCTGCAGCTAGGACTGACGTGGAAAGTTGCCGCTTGGGAGATTGCACATTTGGGAAGTTGCCACCTGGGAAAATACCTTTGGAAAGTATATGCTTGGAAAAAGGCCTTTGCCAAAACCTAAAATCTTCAAAAAAGTGCGGATCAACTTTTCACAAATGTTTTAAAATCAGATGAACACTTGAACGTTGTACTCTTAGTGAGAATAACTTCTAAAAAGTTAAAGAAGTCATGAGAAAGAATTGAAAACATAGTTGATAAGTATCTATGTACTTTGTACCGAGCTTAAACATTCAACTAAAAACTTGAAAAACTGAATTTCATGGAACTGTTTGAATATTTTCATACCGTGATAGATGTGTAAACAGAGAACTAGAAAAATAAACGTGTTTTCAAGGGACCAAGTAAAAATACAAGACACCACAAATACAAGACACCACAATTACAAGACACCACAGCTACAAAACACCACAAATACAAGACACCACAAATACAAGACACCACAAATACAAGACACCACAAATACAAGACATCACAACTACAAGACACCACAACTACAAGACACCACAAATACAAGACATCACAACTACAAGACATCACAACTACAAGACACCACAAATACAAGACACCACAAATAGAAGTCACCACAAATACAAGACACCACAAATACAAGACACCACAAATAAAAGACACCACAAATAAAAGACACCACAAATACAAGACATCATAAATACAAGACACCACAAATACAAGACACCACAACTACAAGACACCACAAATAAAAGACACCACAACTACAAGACACCACAAATACAAGACCCCACAAATACAAGACAAAAATACAAGACACCACAAATACAAGACACCACAAATACAAGACACCACAAATACAAGACACTACAAATACAAGACACCAAAAATACTAGACAACACAAATACAAGACACCACAAATACAAGACACCACAAATACAAGACAACACAAATACAAGACACCACAAATACAAGACATCATAAATACAAGACACCACAAATACAAGACAGCACAAATACAAGACACCACAAATTCAAGACACCACAAATACAAGACATCACAAATACAAGACACCACAAATACAAGGCACCAAAAATACAAAACACCAAAAATACAAGACACCACAAATTCAAGACACCACAAATACAAGACACCAAAAATACTAGACATTATAAATACAAGACACCAAAAATACACCCGAAATATTAGACACCTTCACAAACACAAGAGTATGTATGCTTTAAGTCTTTAAAATGTGCATTATTCTTATTGCTCTTTGGATTTCAGTTATTCAATCCTTAAAATATTTGTGTTTAAATTCTAGATAAAAAGATTAGAGAATGCGCAAGAAAACTATGTAAAAATTTTGTTTGTTTAAAGGGACTGTAAGCATAATTTGTTTGTTTAAAGGGACTCTTTATGTAAATATCAACGTAAAATAAATACAAAATTGTATACTGTGTGTGTAAGGGGAATAACATCAGTGGATTAAAGATATAAACATTAAAATCCCATCTTCTCACTTTTCTATTTAGAATAATGTGTTCATCTCTTCTAATTTTATCCACTGAAGAGTGAAGAAACATTGATCTCATTATCAACCATCGTAAGGGATTTTTTTTATAGTGCAACAAACTTCAGAATAAAGAATGCACCTGGGCAAAGATGTCCCAGAGGACCAGAAAAATCGCTCCCAGCGATCAAAAATCGGCCTTTTTACACTCATTATAGTTTCAATTCATCGCATCGTTTACTATAAGTAAAATATACATTTTTTAATTGTGTTCGTCCAAACTCAATGGACATTTTGGGACAATATTATTTGGTAAAATTCGAATCCTCAAAGAATTAAGTCTTTGTTTTTGATTTAAAATAGTTCAAATTTAACGGAATTGAGTCTAATCCATAAAGGCCGAGTGTTCGCGAAAAATTAAAGGGGGGATATGCTTACGGCGAAAAATAATCGCTTTTGATCGCTGCTACTCTTACTTCTATATGTCGCGTCTATAAGGAGAACATTGATCGCAACTTTCTGAATTTGTATGGACGCTACGTTCTTCAGTTTAAGTCGTATTTTTAACAAGTTTCTCCTTATAGACGCAACAGATCGAAAATATGATTAGTAGCGATCAAAAGCGATTATTTTTCGCCGTAAGCCTATATACCTAAGGTTTAAGAAATTGGGCTCCTAAGATATAGGGATTAGGAAATCAGTGTTTTAGCAAAAACTCAATTTCTTTAAATTATTAAATATTTTAAATAATAATCGCAATTGTTCCCTTTCACATTTCTTCTATAGAAACGGTAATAAAGATATCTTAACTTATAGCAAATTGAGAGATTGCCCTGCTCATGATTTAAAATAAATGTTTTAAATTCATTTTTTCATCAAAAATGTTCAGAAATAGATTAAACAGAATGTTAATCAACATATTCAGGTTTAATCGAGTTTAGTGACCTAATTGTTTTATAATATCTCACACAAAAACATAATCATAAATTACTTTTATACATCATTTAACCCATATCAACCTACTATAAAGACTCATGTAAATATACAAAAATAAAACAATTTATAGCTCGTATATCAATCAATATTATTGTTCTTTATACATTATGCGGAAGCAAACTATATAATCTAAAATCCAAAAGTTAAAAATATTCCATTTAAGAATTAATTGAAATAAGGAAAACAGTTTAAATATGAAGACATCTCTTAAATTTTGAATATGATGATTCTTAAATTTAAGATGGAAGAATAGTCATAGAGGATTAGAAATATAATTTTCGTATAAATATGTGTCGAAAAATATATATGTGCTTGGCATTCAATACCTCTCTCCTGAACTCGATATTATATGTAAATCCCGGAGAACGATTGAAAGATTTCTTTTATCCTTTCAAAGATAAGGGTTGTCCCAAAAAGCATGGGACTGGGAGTTTTTACAGGACATTCAGATTGTCAGTTACCTTATTTGTATCCTAAAACTTGACATTCAGATCGTCAGTTACCTTATTTGTATCCTAAAACTTGACATTCAGATTGTCAGTTACCTTATTTGTATCCTAAAACTTGACATTCAGATTGTCAGTTACCTTATTTGTATCCTAAAACTTGACATTCTGATCGTTAGTTTACCTTATTTGTATCCTAAAACTTGATATTCAGATTGTCAGTTACCTTACTTGTTACCTTGTATCCTAAAACTTGACATTCAGATCGTTAGTTTACCTTATTTGTATCCTAAAACTTGACATTCAGATCGTCAGTTACCTTATTTGTATTCTAAAACTTGACATTCAGATCGTCAGTTACCTTATTTGTATCCTAAAACTTGACATTCAGATCGTTAGTTTACCTTATTTGTATCCTAAAACTTGACATTCAGATTGTCAGTTACCTTATTTGTATCCTAAAGCTTGACATTCAGATCGTCATTTTACCTTATTTGTATCCTAAAACTTGACATTCAGATTGTCAGTTACCTTATTTGTATCCTAAAGCTTGACATTCAGATCGTCATTTTACCTTATTTGTATCCTAAAACTTGTCATTTAGATCGTCAGTTTACCTTATTTGTATCCTAAAACTTGACATTCAGATTGTCAGTTAACTTATTTGTATCATAAAACTTGACATTAAGATCGTTAGTTTACCTTAATTGTATCCTAAAACTTGACAATCACAGTGATCCGAAGGTTGCTAGGTCTCACGCCAAAAATCAATGAGAATTTTTCCAATTACTTCTTCTTATAGTTAATGTTTATGTCTATGGGTACAAAAAAGTATAAGTGAGTTAGTGAGGTAGAATCAAAGACCAAGGACACTTCAAAGTTGACCCGGTCTTGAAATTTGGTGCAACTTTTTATAACGGTCGGGGTGTATATTAGATAATAGGTTGAAGAATTTTTAATTTTATTTGATAAATTATACTCTGAATATGTATCTATCTATTTAACTTGCTTGTCTGTCTGTCCGCTTTAATCAAATAAAAGTCAAAACGGCTGAACCGATCGAGCCCACATTGTTGGGACCTCACATGACCCCAGGAAAGGTTTATGGATGGTCAGAATATAAAACTTTCAATTTTTCAAAATTCACGAAATAAAAACGATAAATTCGAGAGTTTTTTTGTTATTGTTTCATAATTTAAGAAGAAAAAATGCCACAGATAGAGTCTGGTTATGTACAATAAAAAAGTAGTAAGTCTATTCTTATTTTTTTGGGACTCTGGGATATACAAAAAGATATTCCCAGAATGCCTGTTAAACTCTATTGTACAGAAAATACATTTTGTAATGTATTGAACCTATTAGAGGTCTGTATGTATGTATGTATACATTATATAGATCTTTTATTAGATGGACCGATGAAAGGAATTGTAAAGAT